TTCTTGTTCCAGTATGAAAGCAGTTTGGTATACTGCTTTTCTCAGACGTGGAGGGATACTGACTTGTTGTGAAAAATAACTTACAATTCTACCCGTGGTATACGCTCAGTATATCACGGCTAAGAACCAATCAGATTGCTTGATTTGACTTGTCCGTTTTATAAATATATATATATATATCAATGATATGCTAAAAAATATTTGTGGTACCTTTTGAAACCATCTCAAATCCTATGAAACTTTATTTTATTGCACATCTGCAATGCCTTCAACCCCTCTGTGTGTAATTAAACAGCACGTGCACACTATCTGCTGGATACAGGGTGTAATGGCTCGACAGGGTATGTATCATTAACAGACAGACATACACATGTCCTGTCATGTTTACATTCATGATTTCACATTCATTCCTTTTACAAAAGGACACTAAAACTGCTTAACTACCACAATAAAAAAAGAGGATACAGCAGCTGGGACATCCAACAAAGACAATTAAAGCAGTTACATATGTTGTGAAGTGAATTATTGAGTTCAGGAGGTGATCTGTATTGCAGCATATCAGTATAAAACACCAATTGTATCTCTTTGGCCAGCTGTGGGGTTTTGACAGATAAGGTCTGGTCAGCATCAACCTTGGTTTCAGAGAGGGAGAGCTTCACAGCGTGGTGCCTCTGATTGGGCGTCAACGAGCAGCTTACTCAGTGAGGTGAGACTGTGGGAGGTCACCCTGCCCTGGGAGTGGAGGGGTGACTCAACATGCTAACGCAGTGACGTCCGTGGTCTCTCTGGGAGGAACAAAGCACCAGCCGTCTCCTAGGATTCCTTCATGTAGCCTCATTCATCATTTTTATCATCAACTGTATGCAACAAGAAGGAATTTGCTAACACTTTCTGTTACGCCTGTGTCTATAATGCATATATGATTTGTTGCGGCACTATAATTATAGTTAAAAGTGGTCATACATTTTCAGAATGCTTTATAACAATAATCATTATGAATCATTTTATAATGACATGGTGGATCAAAATCTTTCATTACTGCTGGTCACTAATAGGTGTAACCGTGAATTAGAATTTAGAACATTGTAATGGCATTATTTGTTACTCGGTCACTGTTTGATTTAAAATATATGTATATATATATATATATATATATATATATGTTTTCTTTTACTTTACTAAAAGAAAACATGTTTTAATAGAATTAATTTAACAGTGGTTATAATCAATTATAAAATGATTATCATGTATAACAACTATGAGCATTATAATAGAATAATCTTGAACACAGTGTCAGTGAGTAACATATTTTCTGACCTTGTAAGTCTTCATAAAATGCTTTGTTATGATATATATCACTATAAAGCATTATGCATATTTATAAGTGCCTAACTATAATTATACAGTGGTTGATGTATTTAATTTAATCCTACAGTTGTATAGAAATTATCAATTACAATAATACTTTTATATTTTCTATCATATATTTTGATAATAATTTCCATCCTTTTACAATAATTCTGGCCTATTAAAAAAAAAATGAAATACTCAGAATCAGTTCATACCACTACAATTCACACCAATTTCATTAATTGGGAACCATAAATAAAAAACATTTGTTGAGCCTGTAGTAAAATATATAAAAATGCTGGACAGGCACATTAAGCTTGACTGAAGAGACATTTTCATTTCAATCTTTATTTCAAACAGATTAAAAAAAAAATGTAAAAAAAAATAATTGGAAAACAGAATACCGTATTGTTAGAATACAGTATTTATCAATATTCATAATATTTATATATTCAACAACAAATAGTCATAATATATATATGTATATTCCAACAAAAATATTCATAATATTTATATATTCAACACAAATATTCATAATAATATTTATATATTCAACACAAAATAATCATTATATTTATATATTCAACACAAATATTCATAGTAATAATAATAATAAATCATATGTGTCCGAAAGGGAGCAGGAGGAAGAAAATGCTTATTAATTCCTCCCCTTACTTACTGCTGATCAATGATTATCCTTTAAATTATTTCTGCAAGTTATTTCTACATATTTACATTTATACATACATTCACAGTAATTTATCATCTTCAATCACCTTTCTTCATTCTCATAGTTTTCCAAAAAGGTGTTTCTGTACATCCTTTTAAACTGAATGATATGTGTGCTTTGTTTGAACTCCTGCTCCAAACCATTCCATAAAATCACTCCACAGATTGTTATACACATACTTCTCAGAGTTGTTCTGACCTTGAGTTGTTTCAAATGTAGATTTCCTCTGAAGTTATACCCACCCTCTCTGTCTATGAACAGTGTTTTTAATTTCCTAGGAAGTAGATAATTTATTGCTCTGTACATGATTTGTGCAGTTTTAAATGTAACCAGATCAGTGAACTTCAGTGTGTGTGACTTCAAGAATATTGAATTAGTGTGTTAAAGATATCCAACATTATTGATTATTCTGATAGTCGTTTTTTGTAATGTGCATAATGGCTGTAGGTTGGTTTTGTAAGTGTTTCCCCAAATCTCCACACAGTAACTCAGATATGGCAACATGAGTGTATCACACAGAGTATATAATGATTTGTAGTCCAAAATGTGTCTTGATTTCCCCAATATTGTGATAGTCTTAGCCAGTTTTGCTTTTACACGATTGATTTGTGGTTTCCATCTCATTTTGTGGTCTAAAACCACACCTAAGGAACTTATTTACATATACTCTTTCTATGTTTATGTTGTCTAGTATTAATTGCACCTGTGGATTTGTTTTATAATTTCCAAATAGCATAATCTTTGTTTTGTTTATATTTAATGATAATTTTTTCTTATCAAACCAATGTTTTACTTTAATAATTTCTGCTGTTATTACCTCCATTAGCTGTTTCAAAATTGTCACCAGAACAACAAATATTAGTATCATCTGCAAATAAAATACATTTCAATATATTTGATACTTTACATTAATTAAATACCTTGATGACTTGGAGAGGTGTAGCAAATATGCTGATATAAGCACTAAAAAAGACAAGCTGACGAAATCACAGGTTAGGACATCATCATCAGCTAGGGGTCGCTGTGGAGGAAAAGGTCATTATGAAGGGATTTCAGCTCTGACCACAAACTCTTAATCTGGTCCCTAAAAATATCATGATGTTGCATGTATTACACACAATTTTTTTTTTAAGAAGACACATTTCAGTTAAAGGTGACCTATCATGCAAAATCCACTTTTGTACGTCTTTTATACATGAATATGTGTCCCCGGTGTTCCAGGGAACTCACCAAGTGTAAGAAAACACAACCCTCTCTATTTTCCTCCATACCCA